AGTAATATAGTATATAGATAGGTATATTTTGTCACTACGCCTATATATTTTCATTTATAGGTACCATTTTGAGTTTTTTTTGTCACTCTAGGATTTTAAAAATAGCAGTATAAGCCATTAGATAGATATTGTAAATACCTAGTCAGTCATATATGAATATGCTAGCCGGTCAAGCCGGAAACATTTAACAATTTACCGTAGGTATCTACAATCTACTTATCTATTTAATATTATTGTTCAGAAATAATTTGTTTACGATGTTTTGTTTTACAATTATGCCGTGTAAGGTGTAAATTATTATAATTCATACTATTTATATGATTGTTAGGGAAGATGAGAATTGAGCGCTTACAAAATGTTTCTATATTAGTTTTTTTTAGATTCTGAGTGAAACGATGAATGTATTGACTTTACAATGATGTGTGTTTTTTTTATAATTTTTTAATTTTTAATTTATTATTGTGTCTGTCATCACGGTTTGGGACAGTAAAACTGCTTCGATTTTCTTCAACAGTATCTTGTTCGATAGGAAAGTGAATCTAGTTGGTCCATTCGGGATGTCAAATTTTAAAATTCCCAATAGTTTTCATAAGCACCGGGAAAAACCACATAAAAATTAAGGAAAAACGGGAATTTTTACTCAAAATCAGTTTTCCAAAAAATCGATTTTGGTTTTTGGTGTAACTCTAAAACAAATGAACGTATATAAATTTTCACTGGTTGTTTATATTAATTATATTTACATTTTCTATACACCATAAAACTTTCAAAATATTATGATTTGTTTTGAACTGTTTCGTAACAGAATTTTCAAATTTAAATTTGAATAATTATATTGTAGTTAAAAATTTATAAAATGTTCAACTTTTATATCTAAGAATTGAAAATTTAAAACAAGATTCCAAGTAAGTAGTTTATTCTGTTATCAAAAAATCTAAAAAATACAGGAGGACAGTTTATTTTTATAGTAATTTCAGTTCAAATTTGGACGAAATTACATAAAAAAAACCTAAAATATCTATTTTAGTTATTTTGTTGTGATTGTATAATATTATTCGTGGGTACTTGAAACTTCTAAAGTACACTATTATATTTCTATGATAGTATCAAGGTGTGTTATTGATGTATAACTCGTTATATAATAAGTACCTAATGGATTTGTGATATTGTGATAATATGATTAATTTGGAATTTATTATAGGTCAATTTTTTTTAATACCATAGATAAGTATATAATATGTCTTATACCTAGACTGGCTAGACTGCCATATCGTCTCCGCTCAGAATCGTTTTTCTTATACAATGATATTATATCATTGAATTCAAATTTAATACCATCCATTATACAGTGACCCACTTGCAATCTACTGTACAGCAGAGAATCTTTTTTTTTATTAGATTTTAGTCGGTGACTATGTTTTCATGTTATAATGTTATGTTTGTTATAATATTATATTGTATATTATGGAATATGATGTATGAAGGATATAAGATACACTATAGTATACAATTATTGCTATAGATAATGTTTAAACATTACACTATTGTATCTAATGTTGATACGATTATCAAACTGATGTTTTCCCTGTAGCAGGGCCATATTTAAGGAGGGGCACTGGCAACAACTGCCCTGGGTGGCAACTGGCAACATTTTGCTGTCGGAATTTTTTTCCTCATGAATTATTAAAACTTTTGAAATTTAAATAATTTCAATAACAATATATTATTATATAATATTAATGTATTAACTTTTGACTACAAAATGTACATGTACAAACAATTTTTCCAGACTCTTTTTAATAGGTAATTTTTGATTTTTATCCATCAAAACTGAAAAGTAGGTACTTTCTAGATCCAATTTGTTATCAAAGTTGGAAATCAAAACATTATTTCGACTAATATTGTGTTTATAATGGAATATTATGTTGTATACATAATACATATACAAAAATAAATAAAAATAAGAAAATCGGGTAAGTGCAGGATGCCGCTCTGCGGTACAGGATAGGTAATGGATGGTATTAAATTTGAATTCAATGATAAAATATATAATACGTACTCTTAACAGGTCATAACTCATAATAATAATTAAAATATATAATAATATTAATATAATTATATTATACATTTATTTATTTATTCTTCGATACAATTAATACCTTAATATCCAATAGGTAATAAATAATAATATTTCAATATAAATAGCCACCCTCTAAATGGTCCAGAAAATTGGCCAAGGGTATACTAGCCCCCTTCCTAAATACGTGCCTGGGGTAGCCATTAAGCCAAGACAAGTGACAACCACTGCGTCGCACGAAAAATACATCCTGGTTCCTATATTTACAGTGCGATTACCTACATACGCCATACAGGCTACAATAACAAGAAACATCTACCTACCTAATCTATTTTTGGCCCTACACGGCTACACGTGTATATATTCATTATTCATACAACGAACGTGGCTGCCGGCTTCTATAATTACTATAATTACTACTTATAGTTAAAGCTTGTCTATTGTTCAAGTAGTAAGTGTTATGGTGTTAAGGTCAACTGTTTAGTATCTTATTGACATCAGACTTACTGTCATGAGTCATGACAACCAGGGAGGACCTGGGAGAATAATTCAGGCCGGGAAATTATACTACCCAGACCACATTCTAAACCTACGTCGTAACTATATGTGGGTTGCTGTAAGAGGGCATTTATAATTTTGTGTCAACCCCCCCCACCGTCAAAGCTGACATTTTTTTTTATAACTAAATTTATGTATAACCTTTTAGTTTGCCTATATTATAATATGTGTAAGAGGAACACAAGAAAAAAAAAACATTAATCACTAATCAGTAGGTACCTATCGACATTTTAGTGTGACTCTATCCCCTTCTTAGGCTTATCTATATTAATTATTTTAAAAACATTTAAAAAAAGTTCATTTAACAATTTATCAAATGCAATATCAAAATCTTTTATAACAGTTCATAATTTATACTCTTAAGTGGACACCATGTCCCATACCCACATTTGTCGTCAACGAAACTTAATGGTAGCCGGTAGGAATATTTTCTGCGCTGTGTTCGTATGTCCGGTTTTTTTTAAAGATGGTTGAATTTTTTAAACGAGTTATGATCATTTTAAATTTGGGCTATTTTATATACCCAACATTTGCTAGATAATCTAGAAAATTGAATCATCTTAAGAAACCAACATACGAACAAAGATAATGTGCTTACCATTAAGTTTCATAACACCTAAGTTGATTCACTCTAAATTTTAAAGTTTGAAACTAACGAAGCTAAATGTAAACTGCTGAGCATATAATATTTGCTGATAATTGTTACGCGCTTGTAAGGCGGAGGCAAGTAGGCAACAAATAAAGGTGTAGTGACTAGTGACCAACTCTTAATACAAACCAAAAAGAATATACATTTGAGATCATAATATAATTTCATATTTTAATCAAGTTTCATTGAATATTATTGTAAAACTTGCTGTATATAGCTGTATCGGACTAAAAATGCAAGAAGTAGTCACAGAATTCTCTCGGATGAAGCAAACCCAATAATAATAATGCGGTTATGTGTCCCAATCTTAAACGGTTAAACCAATCTTATCTTACCAATCTTAAATGAGCAATTGTAGTTATTATACTTATTAGTTATTAGTAATTAGTAGAGCTTTACTTAGGAAATTTGGGGCCCGGGGCTCATTTTTTGATGGGGCCCCTTAACTTAAAATATAAATTAAACATTTTTTTTTGTTGCTATTTCGTTTTTTCATATTAAATTTATAATTGAAGGTTATAAATAAATTATACCGTAAATAAAATATAAATGATGTACCTATGACTGTATTACAGTAATATATAGGCGCTCTAATTGTATCGGTACGGGGCTGCCCTAAGTAGGGCTCTGGTTATTAGTAATAACTAATAACTTTTTGTATTACGCGCGTTTCTATAAATAAATACTAATTATTTAAAATAATAGTTTAATACAGCCGTCATGCCACTGGCAAGACCCAATAGGCCAGGCCATCGGGAACTTCCCGGTATTCTAGTGGGCTGATGACAATTGACAAATAAGATTTTATTTATCATGCTTACTATCTTGTAGAAACGTATTAATACAGTGGGTCAGTGCTACAACATAAGTACCTAGTCGATGTAGATTTGTAGGGTAATCGGAAAAAAAGACCAAGAAAAAAAGACCAAGGAAAAAAAGACCAACAGAAAAAAAGAACACGGAAAAAAAGGACAATTTACAATTTTTAAAAACTACATTTAAAACCTAGAATAATCATTTTAGTTATTTTGTTTTATTATTTTACCACTAGTTATATTTTATGATAAAGTGTGAAAAGGTCACTGTGATCTCTACATAGGGAATTTCCAGTAATTTATTTTACTCTATATTATTATACCACAAGTTATATTGTATTTAATATAATAATATAGAGATGAAGATTTGTATTTTTAAGGAGTTCAATATAGGCAATTTTCTGTGTGTTTACTGTTTACATGATGGTCGTATAAATAATATTATGTAAATTTGTAACGAAGGTAATTTCTAATTTTATTAAATTTAAATTGTGTATAATATCCAAAAAATATATTATAATGTACATATTAATTATAAAATTACAACAAAATAACTAAAATGATTATTCTCGGTTTTAAATGTAGTTTTCAAAAATAGTAAATTGTCCTTTTTTCCGTGTTCTTTTTTTCTGTTGGTCTTTTTTTCTTGGTCTTTTTTTCCGTGGTCTTTTTTTCTTTGGTCTTTTTTTCCGGGATTCGATTTGTAGTCATAGTCACTCTCTGACTCTCAATACTCAAAAATTAAGAATATGGTTGTAAAGTAGTTATACACGAATACACGATACACCTAAATCTGTATATTATCATGTTATAGTCTATAGAGTTATACACTATAATACATCATATTAGTATATTACATAGGTATTGGGTACTGCGCAGTAGACGTATTAGCGTTTTTTTCCTATTCGATTTCGCGCGCGAGCACCGCTGACGACACGGATTTCCCTTCGATGTTTGGACGGTTGGCTGCACTGCCGTCTTGGTCGGCGGGGGCCGAGGATCGAACCTCCGTTCCCCCGCCTGTCCATCCAAATCGTTGCGCGCATTCACCGCGCACGCCGACAACAACACTGCGGCCTCGTCCTTCAGTGGGCCCGTTCGTAACATTCTGGGTCGTCGTTTCGACTGGAAATTTTTTTTTAAACGCGTTTTTTTTTTCCCCGTTAACTTTTTTCCGGTCGTCAATCGTCGGCGCTGGACTTTTACACATTTCCGTCGGTCCGTCGCGCTTCGCGTTCCCCGGACAGACAGGCGTGCGTGACCAGCCCCACGGCGGCAGCAAATCTCGTCTCGGGGGCCGGACAAATACACGGAAGGACCTGCAGCTGTACTACGTCGTCGTCACCGTCGCACCGTTACATTCTAGGTGAGTTTCCGGACGACCGATTGTTATTAAAACGATAGGTGTATTGATAATCGCGCAAACGCCAAACGGTGATCTGCGATCGGGGCTGCCGCCGTAAAACGTTCATGAGGAATGTCGGGAAGGCGTGCATTATCGACGGTGTCGTGATAGCGTCGTCCGACGGTCGAGCGCGCGCATCTCGACACCGCCGCGGGCTCAATATGGCCACCACCTGCATTGCGCGCAATGGGTTCGCGCCATTTTAACAGCCCCGCTGTCGCTGCCTTCGTTAATCGGTTTGGGATCCTCTCGACTTTCAAACGCATTTGATCGAAACTTTTAGTCTGTAGCAAAATTCACTAGTCGACGATGACCAAACGAACCGAGCTTATAAATCTCAAATTAACATAGATAAGGTTTTTGAGACCCACTTGAATGTCGACTTTTTTAAGTCTACAAACCCGGATTTAGGCGTTTGCTTTCTGTGCTCTCGCCAATAGGACCAAAATCAAAAGTAAAAGTCTTATTTAATTGTTTTCTTTATTTCCTATACCTATTGGGAATGAAGAATATGAAAACTGTATTTTAAATATTTTCTCTTTAAAAATTGATTTCTACCTAATCTAATAATCATAAATAGTGATAACTCCCATTTGAAGTCTTTAGGCTATCTAGTTGGAATCAATTGTTTGTTTAATAATTTCGATTTTTCGTACCTACCTACCTAGGTATGTCCAACTATTAATCAGATGTGTATTATCTACATTTCATTCAAATTTTTTTTTGTATTTAAGTAGAATGTATTATTAGTGTCCTATCTGCAAATAATTCAGCTTTCTGGTGTTATACCGTCAAATATTTAGGTAGAATGTATTTTGTAGATGCAATTTTTTTGTTATTTTTCTAAGTAGTTTGTCAACTTATAAAGGTATCTACTGACAACCAACTTAATTTTTCATTTATGTATAAGTATACTTACCTACTGTTCCTTGTGTAAAACTCAATTCATATATAATTATAAACCTTAAATTATCTCTTAATATTGAATTAAACAAAAATTAATTTTATATCAATTTACCTACCTACCTAGTAAATATTTATTTAATTTTTTTTTATACTCCAACCGGCTTTTACAAAATAGTGAAAAGATAGATAATATACTTAATACCCGATGTAATATGATAATAACAATAATATACAGTATACCTAACTAAGTAATAATTTTAAGTATAACAGTGATACTACCAATACCTTATAATACAAGTATGGAATATTAATTGTTATTTGTTTCTATTAAATCAAACAGATTATTATTCATTATTGTAATGAATTTTTTTTTAACATTTATCCATAATCAGGGTTTGAAGTACTAAAAGTAGTTATAAAATTTAGTAAAAAATCCAGTAAAAAACCCAACTAACCAAAAAATTATCAAACTTTAAACTGCATATTTATTTTTATTACTTTTTAGTAGCATTAAAAAACAAAAATATGTAAGCAAAAACATTACCTAAATATTATAATTTTACATTTCTTAATTATAATTCATTTTAAACTCATAACAATAAACAACACAAATTAAGTAATAATAATAAAACAACTTATAAGCACTTTTTAATGTTTACTGGTCAATGGTATAACAAACTGTATAATATTATTTGTAGGCACATCAATGCTTTTTATATTTTTTAAATATAATATTTACCTATAACTTATAGGTAATAAGTTATATTTAATTTTAAATAAGCACTAGGTTATAGGTATATGTTTTAAGTTTTAATGTTTAGGAAACATAAATAATAAAAAGCCCTAATAAAAAGTGTCGGGAATCGGCATTCATTTAAAAGTTATTAAAACCCATTTAAACCCAACCGGATCGGGGTTTTTTTGAACCCTGTATAAATAACAAGCAACTGATGATTAGTTAATGTACCTATTATATAATAGTGTACCTACTTGATGTAATGTATCTAATTACTTTATTAAATATTAATATCAAGTTCACGTTTTTTATAGTACTCAATTAATATTTTATTGTACTGTATATAATTAAAATAAATTACATTAATAATATAGGACACATTTTGGCATCTGTTATTTTATTATTCCAAAGTCTCAAATAGTTTTGTTATCTAATCTCAATATTACTGACATTGTGTTCAAAATATGCTATGATTGTAGTAATTATATAAAGTTCTTTTATGAGTTCTAAATGTTCTTGTTATTGAGTAATACTGAATACATTGTCTAAAAAGTTAAATTAAAATGTCAAACTGATCAAATTTTAACTGATAATACATAATATTAGATACCTAATTATTAGATTACATAAATTATACAAAACAAGATTATTGCTTAGAGTTGCACTTTATTTGTTATTGTTTAGTTACTTACCTATAATTAATTTGAATATTATCTGAATTATATCCAGAAATGTATTAACAATATTGCTCATTTTAAAATGGGTGATATATTTGTTATTAAGTACCTAGGTACCTACAATTAAACAAATTATTTTTATGAGTAGGAATTTGGAATGGGTTAGGTATATTATTTTTATTTATTCTATAGTTATTCATTTATTTTTTATTGAGTACCTATAGTAATTTAATGAGTATCTACTTTTATTTATTGAGGGGTTTTTATTGTAGGTACCTATTATTACCTATAAACAGGATTATATCCATATTCTTAGTAAAGGCCATAAAATTGTTTAAAATAGGTACCTAGTAATTGTATTAGTATTGGTTTACTTTTAATGTATGTAGATTTCAGATAATACCTATATTAAAAAACTCATATAAATAGTATTCCTGTCTCCTGGTTTCTGCCAACAGAATACCTACTTAAAAATTAAAAAATAAGATGGTATATACAGTGTTGATCTGACTCATGGTTGACCCTCTTACAAAATTATTTTAAATTTGACATTGTATTTTATATTGACAATTTGTTCAATTTATTTAATATTGTAGTACTTGCAGGCTCAGTGAGCTAGGATACTTGAATAGGTATCACATTACTGTTGTTACTTTTTGGAATTCTTTTTAAAATTTAATTGTATTGTTTGAATATAAGTGATCAAACAAATTATAAATTATATTGCTTTATTTTTTTTCTAATCACCTACCTAATATTTATTGAAAACTTAACTTCATACTATTATTTATACATTTTATTATAATTAATAATCAATTATTTCAATATTAGTTTAATTGATAAATGCATAGGTCTATTTGTAATCCGAGTTTAATATTAAAGTTTAAATCAAACATTACTATTTTAAGATTTAAAAATAACTGTGTATTAACAAATTACAAAACAAAAAGTAACTCTGTAATAACTAAACAAAACAACAAGTTAAATCTAGGTATAAATATATTTCCTATATCTATATTTTCTTACTGGTATATAATATTATATATTTGCTAATTTACCTTGTTAGTAAAACTGTTTTATTATTATTTTTAGTATTCATAACAAGCCTCCTGAATGTTCATTCAATAGGAAAACACAGAAGCGATTGAGAAAAAATGAATTCCAATACACTTTACTATTAAACGCTGTTCGCTGCATGCAGCGACAACAACAGAATTGTAAAACGTAAGTACCTTAAACCTATTAATCTGTCTAGTCTATTATTATCTATGTAAAATCAACTTTCAACATGGATGCCAAAAAAAATGTTCAATTTTATTCTTATGAACTAAACAGATAAAATCATTGATTTGGGTAGGTAATGTGTGTAGTTTTTGAATATTTTGTACATTGAGAAATATCAGTTGTCAATATAAAATATCAGATATCATTTTAAAGAATTTATATACTTATATTTGTGGACATTTATGTTTGCAACCAGCTTTAAAGAGTTCTAAAAACACACTTGCGCAAATACGTTTTGTGGTCTGGTTTTGGCATGCATGTATGCTATCTGGCATTAATTTTGATTGCACTAAGTTTAAACATATTATACTTGGTATTAATGTTTTAATTAAATTAAGCATTGTCCTTATTAATATAGCATTAGAATTTGAACTCTGTATTTAAATTAAATTATTATGGTTACTATCTTATTTCTGATATTTTTCATTATTGTACTAAATTCATATCAATAATATTATTATTTTTTTAAAATTTAATTCAAATTTAAAATTTATGAAGAGGTTATATTTACTAGGTAGTCACTATTTTATAACAAGTAAAAAATAATCCCAAATTATCTTGTTCTTATGAATAAATTGTCTATAAACATCAGGGTTGTATTTAGGTTCGGTCACCTTACTAGGAAATCATAGAAGTTGCACACCTTATTTAGATTACATAAAAATTTGTTAATACCTGTGTTTTTCTTTACTTTTTAGAGCAAAAGCTCATTTTTAGTCCATCTGTTGAAAATGTAACCAGCTAAAATAAAATTTGGACAATAATACATTTACAGGAATATAACTCAAGTTGTAGACCTACTATACTCCGGCCCACGAGAGAGTATTACCGTCGCCCGACGAAAACTCGTCCGATTCCGCGCATTCCCCACTACTCGGTGTATAGCCGTCGCGGAAATAGTGGGGGAAATGGGGCCTCGGAACGGTCTCCGCCGTCAGTCTGCATGAGCAAAACGGTAATACTCTCTCGTGGGCCGGAGTATAGACCTTACTTACATTAATTTAAAGCTAAATATTATTACAACAGAAATATAAATAATTTCTTCTTACAATAATGAATAAATCCATTTGAGTTTAAGAAGTAATGATTTAGCCAAGAGTCACTAATGGATGGCTACTTTAATCATACCTTTCATGTTATATATTACTTTTATCATATAAAGTGTATTGTGCTAATTTGTATAGGCTGTTTATGTCAAATAAAAATATAAAAAAAGAAGAAATGAGTAGCTAGAGAGCAATTGTATATGTTTTGTCATATTCATAAGTGTGAATGGGACTAGCATATGCTGCCCCTGTACCTTTTCTTTGGCTGACATGGCTGCCAATTATTTATTTATGGGCCACTCAATAGTTATATTTTCACAAACTAATGATAATTGATAACATTTTGTTAGTGCTAATTAAGTAATTGAATCAATTATGAGTAAATATATAACAAAAATCAAGTATACTCCGGCCCACGAGAGAGTATTACCGTTTTGCGCATGCAGACTGACGGCGGAGACCGTTCCGAGGCCCCATTTCCCCCACTATTTCCGCGACCGCTATACACCGTATAGCGTTGAGCGCTGCCGACCGGTACCAAACAGTTGTCGGCATGCCGAGTAGTGGGGAAATGCGCGGAATCGGACGAGTTTTCGTCGGGCGACGGTAATACTCTCTCGTGGGCCGGAGTATAGTATTTATTTTTAGGATCTGTTCATCTTATTCAATGAAACTTCTTCCATACAAATAACGAATATTATATTAGTTTTGATTGCTAAAATAAAATAATATAGATCTGGTTTTGATAACAAAATTGGCCAGATTTATCTCCTACTGTTCCTAAAACCGGAGTTTGCCCATATTATTAGCTCAGAAATGTGTAAATATTTATAGGGTGATCCATTTTTACTACCACATACATTTTTTATTTAGGTGGCTTTAATCAGAATTGATAACAGATAGCTGATAAACATATTATTACTTATTAGGTGCAGTATGTCAAACCGTCTGTATTTTACTTGAACCTAATTGCTCACTATAACGAGTACGAAAGAACCATTTTAAATGAACAAAATAGGGAATATAATAACTAATAATATATTTGTGACAGTACTTTTAAGTCAAATGACAAAACACAGAAACTAAAGAATAAAGATGCAAAATAAATAGCATATTATTCTCATCACCAATTGTTTGCCGTAATATTGCTTGTACATTTCTTGAATATTGAAGGAGTTTATTAAATCATTTGTATTTCACGTCTTTGGTATTCTCTAGTTAGCTCTGTGTCTCTCTATTTTTTTTTTCGTTCACCTCCCAGCGCCCAGGTGTCCCATAAGAAATGTAACTTCAAAAATTTCAAGCTATAGATACTATATGATTACTTATTGAGATCCATTTAAAATAAATATCTAAATCAACAATAAATAAAATATTTCATGTTATATTTTAAATGTTTATGAAATAAATTGTTATTGATTTAAAATTTAGTATTAGATATAAGTAGATAGAATCTAACTGTATATGATAAAATTTATTTTATTGACATTTCCTAGAATATTTCTACAAAACGGAATTAAAGAATTGTTAAATATTAATATAAATGATCAGTACCTAATACTTGTTGTTTAGGAATAGTAACTATTTTATTTTTTAACTACTATTCTTGTACCTATATTTTATTACTTAACTTATTATTATTATAAGTTAGAGATGTAAAATACATAGCATATTAATTACTTTTTTTGTTTTTTTTTCAGCCAAAGAAAACCAAAAATGCTCCACTAAGCATCTATCCCCTCTTAAAGAAGATGGGATATTCAACTACATACTCATCAGCTCAATAAATAACCTTTTGGCTGTTTTGTACTTTTTTTTTATTTAGTTTAACTTGCAACTTAAATTTTTTATTCATACTCAATACATTTTAAATTAAAATCATTTTATTTGAAATCTGAAATTACAAGGTAAATTAATTTAATTAAAATTTCTGATAAATTGTCATTAGTTTTCTAATAATACATGATTCTGTTTTTTCAGTCATAAAAACATCAAAAGTATGTCCCACAGTCATTTTTTAACCAAAGAAAACTTTCCCAGCTTTTGTAAGAAGTTGTCCGAACTGGAGTGGACAATGGATTCAACATGTACGGAAAAACCTGAATCTTCATCTCCTGCTTATTCTTTTTTGCCAACGGCCCGAAATGTACCCAAAAGTGATTATCATCCTAAAGAATCCTACCAACGTTTTTTAATTGATTCTAATGAAGACAACACTTTAATTGAAAAATATCTGAAACAAGAATGTGACACTTATAAGTTGTTTGGTGGTCCACCAATTAATCCGTTATTTACTGATGAAGGACGTGGTTCTAGTATTGAAGATTCTCCAAAGTCATTTTCATATTTTTCAAAAACGAATTGCTCTTACATGGATAAAAGTATTTGGGCACAAGATTCTGGTAACGATAGCTGGCCTGATGCTTTTTTGCCATTGGATATTAAAGAAGAAACCACATGGAAAGAATTGAATACTGAAATCAAAAAGGAGCCAATGTCATGGGCAGTTATACAGCGTCCGGCCAAAGAAGATAAATTCAAACCCATTAATCAATTGGTTGATGCTGGTGCAGCAATTTTTCCAGATGGCTCACAATTTGAAATTGATCTATCATATGAAGCATTTGACGCTGTTGAAGTTGAAGGGAAATTATACATTGGTAAAGATGAATTTAGGCGTACAGATGATGGATTGTTGTATAAAGTCTGTAATCAAGATAAAGGTAAATTATAGTTTTATTCTTATTAAGTAATAAATAAAAATATACTATATTATAAAACATTTATTGAATTTAGGTACTCAAACGGACAGTTGGGATGATGATGAAAATGTTTTAGTAACACGTACTGCTAGACGACATTACCATTTTCCTATATTCCAGAATTGGCACACATCTCAATCAGGCGATAACCAAGATCTGCTTAGTGATTTTTTTAATCCACAGCGTGCACGTGAAGTCAGAGGTGACATGGATGATAGACCTCAAATGGTAGATATGCTTCGCAACATTATGGGTATGCAACATATTTGGGATAAGCCAACTATGTGCAATGAAATTGATGCTTATCCAGAACAAAACTTGTACATACCAACAACATGCAATGAATTGGCTGCTACCTACACAATGTAAGGTTTAATAATTATATTCCAAATGTCCAAATTATCTAAAAATATTGGTTTTATTATTAGATTGCAGTCAGATAGTGGTTCAGAAAGTTCAGATGATATAGACAATAACTGTGGTACACTATTCCGTAATTCAAGAACTTAAAAAAGGCATAATTAATTTTGGAACTTGCAAGATTAAATCAACACTGTAATATTTTGTTTTGCCGTGCACCGTTTGTGTTTTTTGTCAAGACATGGTAGACTCATTAAGGTTAGGTTATACATATTTTTTCTTTGGGACAAAAAACTATAATATTTTACATTTGTATGATCGATAACATATAGTTTTGGTCGATAAGTTATTTGTTTAAAATTGTATTTAAAAACAAAATAAAAAAAAGAACAAAACGTCAAAAACCCTTAAAAAAAAAAAAAAAAAATATTTATATATTAAAAATAAACATACAATAATATATATTTATATCTTATAGATAGACCTAAGGCTCTAAAATATTACCATATGGGTTATTTTCTTAGGTTAAAGAAATTATCCCATTTAAATAATTTGCTTTGATTAATGATGTATTTCTTTTTAATGTGTTCAAAACTGTCAAGACATTTTAAGAATTTATCATTTTATTAGCCCATTGGTAGCAATATTTTGTAATTAATCAATTTTATTTTTGAAGTAAAACGATAATAAAAAATATTAAAATGGAGAACTACCCGAAAGTTGAATCTAACAAGATATCAAGAGTTAGGTTAGGTGTCTATGAGCAAAGTACATACTCTATTCAAAAGTGAAGAACTGGACAAATTTCTCTGGATTTTTTTTATGTGAGAATATTTTTGATGAATTCAAGTATTTTAAAATTACTTGACCTTTAAAGTTTTATATCTTATTTGATCTAAAACGTACCTAAAATTTTAAATTTATAAATATTGTGGGTCACATTAAGCTTTAAAAAATTTATTTATTCTTGGAATTCATAACTAATCACCATTCATATAAAAATAATTTTTATTTTGAATCTGTAAATCCTGGTCATAAGTTTGTCCAGTCCAGTTAGAAGATATCAAAAAGACGGGTCCTGATTTTTTTTAAATATGGCGCCCGAAAATTATTTGACACTCGTATTTATATATACACACTCACACTTATATATACATATGTATATATATATGTATTTTTTTTTAGTTTAAAGTGAAGTAAAAGTTATTTTTTCTAATAAAACAGTCCGAAAACCGTTTTCGGCCCTGATTTTTAATAAAAAAGCGCCTAGAGTTTTATGTTAACACTAACCATTTTTTTAAATTATTATTTTTGTTTATTACTCACAGTTAACCAAAGTGCCTTTTAGAAACATGTATAAAATTTGAATTTTTCATTTTGTGGAGGGGGTTAATGACTGAATCAATCGCTCTTTTGTTTATCGGTTATTATAAAACTGAATTAAAGCCGATAAATACACGAATAAAATATTTATCAAAAGATGCGCACCCCTTTTTAATTATTATTTATGTATGTGTTAAAATTATTATACACTAAGACCCACATAATATATATAAATACATTTTTTTTATTGCTTTCATATATGTGTATATGTATATTATATGCACATATACATGTATATTTTTTTTTACAAGGCCGAAGGAATATTGTTTTTGTGCATTTGTTTTGTTAAAGTTGTTATTTATTTAAAAATGTTTTTAATACATTTCGCAAGGGATGGAGCACAAAATTATAAGAAAATTTGCTTATGTTATTTTATATTCTACCTTGATTGTCTTGACAGTTTAGAACAAATATTATGTTAATCAAGTTTGAAAGAACCTATATAGTATTTTAAAAAAGTACTTAAGAGGTCGTAAGATCTTTTTAGGTAATTAGTAATTACTAACTTATATATTATATATAAAAATAATATATATTATTATATATACACACAAAATGTAGGTTCATGTGAATTTACAGTTTTTATTTCAAAAGAATTAAGTGAAATTTTGTTAGGGCATTAAAAAGAAATAGCATAATATGTATGTTTTTTTTGTTTTTACTTATAAACTGCAAGTATCTATTGAATTATTTCACTTGAATTGCTCAGTTCAAGTACTCAAAAGTTAGGAGCTACATAAATTATAATTTAAAAACTAACATTTATACTTTTTTTCAAATAATGATGTACTCCCCTCCCCACCCACCAGTATCTCAGAAGCCTGGGTTCTTTTAGGCAGGTCAGGTGAAAACACCGTTCTTATGTTAATATATTATTAAAATTATTTTATACTGTATTGTAAAATGCAATTAAAAGATTCAACTTTGCTGTCCAAATTGAAAATAATAACATTTTCATTATTTATATTCTTATTTTAATTTGTAAAAAATTTGAATTTTATAAATAAATGGTATCTGGTTCATATGAGGAATACTATTCTATGCAAATTTAAGTTCAAAATTTTTTTACTCATCAGTGAATATAACTATTTTAACATTGTTCCAAAGTTGGATGTAACATTTTATATCAAAACAAAATTTAATAATGCATTATATAAAACAAAAAAATAAATAGTTATTCCAGTGTTTCAATAAACAATATTAAATGTACTCATAATTTCAAAATCCGTAGTTTTGACATTTTTATTTAATATCTAAAATTTATGTTTTATATAATTATAACAATATTTAATTTTTAGAAGGCTAAAAAAATGTAGGGAAAAAAATATATCATCCTTATTTGAATATTTTGCCTTAATTTTTTTTTAATTTAAGTTTTTTTTTTTAAACAAATATTGTAATAACTAATAAGTATACAATCAATATTATTCCAGTAGATAAAATCTTAAATTCATTTAGTAAAATAATTTGTTTTTATTTTTAGTTGTTGTTTAATAATAAATGTTATCATATTGTAGAATATTTATCACTTGACAAATCTTGTCAAAAAAAGGTTTCATACCAGTTCTTATAAAAATATAAAATACATTTTTATTCCAATAAAATAATTTTTAATTATCTAGAACACTGCAAAGATAAATAATTTTCAAAAAATGTAACCTTTTTTGGTCAACAATCCCTCTATAATTAACTACCTTTTACAATTACAATAACTAAACTATAACTTAAAAAATATTTTCTATAAAGAATAACAGGAATATAATAGTTTAATTGACATCATATTTCATTATAACTGAAATATTATACTATGATAATGAATATTATATAATCGTTATAATATAAATTTGATATATTAATATATTATTATCCTCTATAAAGTATCTAGTCCAAAACATAAAATTATAATTGTATGTTTTAATTTAATTTCATAAAAAAAAAAAAAAAAATATTAACTAATTTAATATTATCTCCCCAATTTTAATATTATAATATCATGATGTACAGTTAAATTACAAAACTTGAAAGAGGTTTTAATATTTAAATCAAACAATTTATTTTAATTTTAGAATATAAAATTGTATTGTATCTAACAACCTAATTCTTGAATAAAGTATAGTATATTATTTAACATAATATATTCATACATATTCAAGTGTAATCGTTCCTTTTGCACTTGAATTGATTTGTAATCTACTGTATGCCTATCTATTTGATTTTCATCCAGGATTTTTTTCATCATAAGATAATATTTCCTTTTCATTATATAAAATTTGCTACCAATTTACAGTAAGAATATTATATTATATTATAAAAATCATATTTTTGGCGAATTAGATACATTTTTGTTTTCAAGTGTGTATTTGATAGGAATAAATATGGTTTTTTTTTTTTTTATCAATCATGGAATATTAATATTTTAAATATAAATTGATTATTACAATTTTGATTTTTAGATAATATGATTAAATAATGATATAATTGGTTTTTAGTAATCTAATTAAGAAATTTTAATTTTACACTCGATATTTAATATTTATTTTTAAATGTTCAAAGAAAATATTATTAATATAACTATTGCATGTATAAAACATTTAATATAATATATTGTACTCTATATTATGTATAATGTTAGTTGGTTGAACAATGGATATGAGACAAATGAAAATGTTCGTCAAAATATTTATGCGGTGTAAACAGAATATTGATTTAATAAAGTAACTATGAACGGAGTATTATTATTTATGTTAATATTATGTCAGTAGACTCTCTTCCTCTTAGTTCCCCTTTTTGTGGGCAAACAAGGTTTTACAGATGAAAAGTGGACATGATTAATATCATTATGTGATATACGGCTTGTAATTTCTTCGATGGAGGTCTATTATTTTGGTTTTCAAGCGAGCTCTTCAAATGTAATAAAGTGTAAACAGATCTGCTGAGAATCTTTCTTTTGTGTGTTGATACCTATAAAATTAATGATTTATATAAATCACAGGTGGGTAAGTAGTGTTAAGAACCCCTGGCTAATTTAGTTAGTATATATATATAATAGTGTATAAGATAGTATTGTACGACGGCGACTGTCTGGAATTGCTGCGACAGCAATTCCAGGCAAGCGCTGGCTACAGGCACGGCTCGTATAGCAAGCCGTGCCAGTGGCATTTCAGAGCAGTAGACGGAACCTTGTAATTCGCGCCAGAGCATTATTATTGTCAGACCATTTTTTTTATTAAGTGTATTGTAAGTTTTTTTTCTTTTCAAGTAATATAGAAAGTAACAGATAGTTCGAAAGTGTTCGTTGTTTTATTTGTGCACGGACCTCCAAGGAGATCCGTAACATTTTTGGTGGCAGCGGTGGGATCACGACAAATATCAGTATCCCGTTACCACGAGCAATAGCCGAACTAGACTTTCAACAATATATTAGAAGAAAAGGAAACGAACAAAAGCGTATCCATCCGAAACAGAACATTGTACACAAAGTTGCGTAAGGTAACATTAATAGTATAAGATATTATTATTTTATAATATTTTATATATTTTATATACATCTATATGGTGTGTATATATACATGCAAACGGTTGCGTGTGAACGTGTCTCTATAAACGCGCGATCAGCAAATTCCCGGCGTGGTGTAATACATACATACGCCGTCGAAGAAAAAAAAAAATTTTGACGACAGGCAGCCGCCGTGTGTGTGTGGGCCCGGCGTACGTGTTGCCGCCGCCGTCGTGGTTGTGACGACATCCGTGTCGCCGCCGCCGACGTT